AGATAACTAACATATATATTATATAAAAGATTTGGATGGTCTAAATATAAAAAATAAAATTAGATGTTCACGTCAAATCAAATTAAAATAAATAATTAACATTAAATACGAAATACTAATTAAAATAAATGTAATTTGGGGTTTAAATGAGTAAGTCAAGTTGAGCTCAAATCACCCTGCATGAGCTTGAGCTTAGTTAATTTTATCGAGGTGGAGTTCAAGTGTACGGATTCGAGCTCGAGCATATGCCTACAAGTTCGAGCCGGCACGTGAGCCTACTTGCTTATTATAAAAGAGATTAAATAATATAAGTTTAAAATAATATTATAATAAATGACAAATAAAATGAGTAATGCTCATGCCTTCTTAATACATATTACATTAAGCATTCAAGCAATAAATCATAAAGCTTGGATGGTTCTAAAGAAATGACTTCTCAGCATCTCTTGGACAAACTAGTTGATATGAGTCAATAAATACTTGGGAGGTTACTTTTGTAAGATTGGGGCATTTAATTTACATTAACTCTACCAAAATGCTATAAACTAAATCCTACAATTTTATTCATATATATATATATATATATATATATATATTGAAGTTTGTGTGCAAGATATGTAAATACATAGAAAGTGAGTGGTTTGTATGTAAATCTTTCCTTAAAGTAAATTTAAGTCCTAATGAAAATAAATTGAAGATACTATAATCATATTCTCTTATGATTTAATAAATTTATTAATTGGTGTAGAGAACAATTCACACTTTCATATTGAAATGTAATTTTTTTTTTTTTGTTTCATATGGTTTCATTGTATGGCTTACAATGGCACCATACAAATGTAGCCTAATCATTATCCAATGCTAACTTATATAAAAAAAATAGAAGGATTCTAAAACACAAAGAAAAGGACTAGTTGAGTAAGCCTAACAAATAGGGCTGTCAAAATGACTCGTTTTTTCGCGAACAACTCATGTTTGACTTGTTCGCTGAGTTAACGAACAGAACATGAACAACAAGAATAAATATTTGTTTGTTCGTGTTCGGCTCGTTTTGGGTCGAAAGAGTACTAATCAATTATATATATATATCTTTGATGAGTGTGTAGTGTGCAAAATCAAATGAGAGTTCAAGAGAATGTAATGTAGTGTGCAAAATATAATCAATTAAAAGTACTAATGAAGAAAATAGAGTAAAAATTATTAAATTAGATTCAAATGATGTGTAAATCTTAACCCAGTCCTTAACGTCGAATGACCATGTGATGGTTGTCAAAACGACTCTTTGTTCGTGAACAACTCATGTTCGGCTCGCTAAGCAAACGAGTCGAACACGAACACATTTTTTGAGCTCGAAATATAAACGAGACGAACACGAGCTGAGCCTGGGCTCGCTCCTGTTCGGCTCGTTTACACACCTACCAAGAAATATGAAAAAATTTAAGTTTGGGTGTTTCAATTAAAGTTTCATTAATATGAATTTTAATTTTTTTTAAATTCTATTCACAAATTAAAAAAAAAATAAAATCTTATATTATATTTTTATTAAAATAAATATTAGAATTTTAAAGTTCCTCTTGTTCAACTCTTACATTGATGATATTGGAAACAATTTTGCCCGCGTATCTTGAACAAACTTTGGGTTAGTATGAGTACTAAATTCATTCAATTTATTTTTAGGTGATTACAATATAAACTTTGATTAATTTTTATACATTATATTTATGTCAAATAAAATTTAGAAATTTTGAGATTAATTCTGATAATTTAATTTGAATTTCCTAATTAGTAGAGTCCAATTTCTTATTTTAATCGGTAATCTTTGAAAAAAAATTACATCAGGACTCGACACGTAGACTTGAGTGCAGAGTCCAATGAAATCACACCACGTGGCGGTGACAAAATAAAATAAAATTTATCCGGTAATACGAAGAAATATTTTTCCCGTGTTATTTAGGTGTTATTGTGTGTGTTATTCAAGTGTTATTGATGCGTTATTGTGTTATTATAATACTAGGAATATTCTCAGAACACAATAAGACATGAATAACATACAATAACATCTGAATAACACAGGCGGAATATTCCCCTGTGCTATCGGGCCGGTTTTTTTGGCGTGATTTCATTGGACTCCTCTACGTGCGGAGTCCCGATGTAACATTTTTTCGTAATCTTTGGTGTTTGGAAGTTCAGGACCAACAAACTTCCGGTTATCAACTTGCCTCCAATCATATTATTATTATTATTATTACAAAAGGGTATAGAAACAACACAACATAAGATAAAAAGTGCCAAAAAGCCAACAAAAGGAAAGACATAAAGACATCCAAATAAAACTAAAACAACCAGATGCCCAATTTACAGCCAAGACCTATGAAAGCTCCAAGCGGAAAATGCAGGTCTGAAAGAAGTCCTGAGCAAGTTCAATACGTCCAACTTCACAGATTGGTCCAATTGAAAGCTCCAAAAAGCTATTGCATGTTTAAAAGCTCCAAGTTCATTGAAACAACAATCATAACAACAACACATCCAACTTCATAGCTCGACTAAGCAACAGACAGAGAAAAGATTAGCTAAGAAAATACACCAAACACTGACTAAACAAAAGAGCTCTACCAAACAAAAAAAATGATCGAACCAAAAACAAAAGAGAAGACAAACATAGCAAACTAAATCAACATCAAATAAAAAAGATCCAGAGAAAAGAATGACTCCATCCAGGATATGAATATATTAAGATAATATAATCAAAATATATACAAAAATAATTGATCCATCAAGGAAAAAACAAAACTAAAAAATAAGGAAGTAAGAAAACAAAAGAATCATCCAAAACCAGAAGAATAATCAGACCGACCCATCAACAAAAATAGGCCAAAAGAATAAAAACTAAAAATTATAAAATGTTGTGATAAAACAACTTTTAAACTTCCACTTCCCGCTCTTATAAATAATCATCCAAATCATATACTAAATATTCAAATCCAGAGAGGTGTATTTATTTTTGAATATACTAGAGTTTCTCTCAAATCAAATAAAATAGGCAATGAATTGCCTAGCAAGGAGGTGAAATCTTTTATGAATTTTGTAAGAGAGGTAATATCTGAATGATGAAGAACCTAAGAAATATTACTATGGGTAATAAAAATATTACCATTTTGAACACAACTATTAGAAGATAATGAGAGAAAGAACACTACAAAAATGACCATGAGATTCTCTATCATTAAAACATAAAACACAATTAGAATTAATATTCACACCCTTTAAAGAAAGAATATCAATAGTGTTTAGGCCCCCGAAAATAATCTTTCAAGCATGAAAAGCATATGTAGTAGTAAAACCTTTGAATCAAATAAGTTTAAACTAACCAACCAACACTAGAAAAATTATCTTATAAAATGAAATAAATAGCTTTGTAAGAATATATATTGACATTATTCCAAAGGAAAGTATTATCACTAGCAATATAAATATTTTAAATAGCATTAATGCAAAAGTCAGGGTCAAAAATATCAAGAGGAAGACTCCAATTGTCATTATTGATAATCTCAGAGAGTTTAGTATTAAGGGATGGATTAAACCATCAAAAAATGTAATTATTGAAATGTTCTTTTGAAGAAATACCATAAAACCAAGGCTCAACATAGAAGAACAATTCAGTATTATTAAGAACTTTAAAAGACATGATGACGGTCAGAGAAATAAACATTTAAAATCTTAAAACATGAATTAACAAGAAATTAATCTAAAAATAATTACAAATAGCTCTATCTAGAAGACATCTGATTGGACTATTTAGTTGATTATTGAACCAACTATAAGAGTAACCCGAATTTTGAAGCTAAATAAGACCAACCTTCGTTATACATTCATTAAAATCATAGAGTTTTCTTGGTGAAGGAGGAAGACCTTCAATTCTTTCATTAAGCCGACAAATATAATTAAAATCTCTAATTAAAATCCAAGGAGAAGATACATTTTCAGAAATAAAAATAAGAGAATTTAATAAAGCTTTCCTTTTAAAAGCACTCTTATCCGCATAAATAATAGTCACAAAAAATAATGTAAGGAAAAAAAAATCAAATTTGCCGAAGAATAGATTGAGAATCTATATGAATAGTATAAAAATGAAGAATATCTTTATTCCATTTAATAAAAATATTTTCATTTTTCACAAGATTAAAATTATGCATGCTATCTTTATTTGAATACACTTTAAATTGATTTAAAGAAATAGGATGAGAAGCATTATAAGGAGAGAGTTTAGTTTCCAAAAGACATACAAGATAAAAAAAAATTATAATCTTATAAATGATTTCTACAATCTACAAGACAATCATCATCATTCAGCCTTCTAACTTTCAGGCAACAGGCTTAGGGAGAATCATACATAAATTTCAAGTGTAGTCTCCTTCTTTTTCTATGGATCTCTCCTCTTTATCCCTTCATTCAATCTCCATCTCGATCTATTCCTGGAGCCGGGCCTGAACATAACTGGAAAGGGTTAATATCATCACATCTTCTTACTTCTTCTGCTTGAACCTTTCTCCTGTACCTTGTACAAATGATGAAATAGTCTTCTCAGATTTTGATGCTAAAGAAGGCTCAAAGTGGTGGGAATTTGCGTTGGTGGGTTACGCTTTAGGTAAAGGTTCTTTCTATGGCAATCTTCTTCGAGTCTTCGGTAAGATCTGAAAACTTAAAGGATCTTTTGAGCTCATTTCTCTTACAGAAGGTTTCTTTCCTTTTAAATTTATTTGTATGGAGGATTTTGTGATGGTTCTTTCGAAAAAATATTACCTTAGGAGTACTGATGCATCAGTACTCCAATGAGGAGGTCCCACTATAATGCAATGTGACACCCCCTCATTGGAGTACTGATGCATCACTCGGTACTTTTGAGCTAATATTTTTTCGGTTCTTTCATGTATGCACTAGTTCATTGGTGTCACAAAGCACTTCTTTTAAAACAATTGACTCTTGATTTTCAGCCTGTTAGAGGATCTTAAAGAAGTTCTATTCCTGTTATTTATGAATGAAAACTTATACCATATAATTATAGAAAACATATTCTTAAATGGGTAACTATAAAAAGGAGAAAAATACATTCCGAAGTTATTTACATATTTAGATAACTAACACACATATTTTTATATTTATATGCAAAATACTCAAATTTTTAAAATTACATCAAAAACATAATCATTATTAATATTTTGAAAGTGAAATGCATTTTCGTATGCGTTGATTTGTGGTATAAAAATAATATTGATGTGTGCAAGGAAATTTGAGTGGTAGAGTAGCAGATTATCGTGTTTACTGTCGTACAAAGATTTATCGTACACTTGGAACAGAGAAAATAATTAGTAATTACATCAAAAGTTTGTATGTGAAAAACCCAGAAAGAGTAAAAACCAAGGGATTTATCTCAGCTGAAGAAATTCACTATAAATTGGATATTACATGTATAGTCTGCCGTCCCACGGGTGTGAAAGGGAAGAACACTCTTTGGAGTTACAACGTCGGTGCATGAATGAACTTGTTGTAAGAAGTGGGAGGTGGCCGATGTCGATCGATAAAGTCGACAGGTGGTGGTTGACGACAGTCAGCGGTGATTAATGACGGTCAACCATGGTCAACGACGGTCAGTGGTGGTTGACAGTAATCGGTCGAGGTCGGTGATGATCGACGACGGTCTGTTGTGATAGACGACGATTAGCGGTTGTCCACAACAATCGTCTGTGGTTAAAGTAGTCGTTGGCGATCGACGGTGGCAAAAGTGGGGCTCTATCTAGAGTGTTCTTATTGCAATTAATGCATGAATATGAACCACTTTGATTAGATGCTCAATTCAACTAAGAACTTGCCGAATTCGACATCCGTTTGACCTTTTAAATGTGTTTGATTTTTTTAATCAGAACTCGGTTCGGTTCAGATTGGATCAATGTTAGTAACATCGGGTTCGTCTTGTCAATCCAGTCAATTTGACTGTAAATTTGTTGAAATCTTATTTTTTGGATTATGTCTTATTAAAGTTTGAAAATTTCTTACTCAAAAAATTATTTCGAGATATGTATCATACTTTGAAATTTGTGCAAGACGATGGGAATTCGTTTATGGCGTATCAAATACAAATATAAATATGTAAATCTATAAGAACTTTATGGTATGTATGAAAATTCTCAAAGAAAAAAAATTCATAAATCAGCATCAACGTCAGCGTAAGGATGCTGCTAACTAATGCATACACTCCGTATCATTATAAGCTTAGGATTAATTCTTAAAATAATTAATTAGAAATCCTTAACGATGTGCCACGGTTTTTATAAATAATAATAGCGTAATTATATTAATTTGAATAAATACAAATTACTAACAAGCCACAAAATTAACATGTATTTATATATTTAACACCTAAATTTTTATATTTACGTATATGACACTTTACTCACTAAATAACTTCAGAGGGAATGAATAAAAATGTGTGCCTTATTTCAAAATAAGTTAATATTAATGATATTTTTTTTTATATCATTTAAAGAATAAATAAATAAATAAATATGTGTGTGATATCCTTTCTTATACTCACTCCCCTGTTTCGTTTGCTCTCCAAAAATGCGCATGGCAAGGGGACCTCTGTACCTCGCCTTCTTCTTCCTCCAGCTCTCGCTTCAAACCTCCACCTCCCACCCATTCCCCCTCCCCCTATGGCCTCTTCCCACCCACATCTCCTACCCCAACCCCATCTCCATCCCCATCTCCCCCTCGTTCCACATCCTCACCCCCAATCTCAACCCTAACCGCCACCTCCTCTCCGCCATCAATCGCTACACCCACCTCCTCCTCTCCGAAAACTTCATCCCCATCATCCCCCCTCCAATTCACCTATCCCGTTCCCCTCCCCTTCTCTCCCTCTCCATCTCCATCTCCCACCCCTCCTCCCCTCTCCACCCATCCACCAACGAATCCTACACTCTCTCCATCTCCTCCTCCTCTGGCCTCGCCTCCCTCTCCGCCGACACTCCCTGGGGCGCCATCCGCGGCCTCGAAACCTTATCCCAGCTCGCATGGGGAAACCCTCCCGTGATCGCTGCCGATATCTTCATCGCCGATGGGCCTATTTTCGAGCACCGGGGTTTGATGCTGGATACGTCGAGGAGTTACTTCCCGGTTAGGGATTTGAAGAGATTGATCGGGGCGATGGCGGCAAATAAGATGAATGTATTTCACTGGCATATAACGGATGCTCAATCCTTCCCGATCGAGCTGCCGTCGGAGCCGGAGTTGGCGGAGAAAGGGGCATACGGGGCGGAGATGAGGTATTCGCCGGAGGATGTTATGGATTTGGTGGAGTTTGCTTTGGATCATGGTGTCAGGATCGTCCCCGAAATTGATGCTCCTGGTTTGTTTTCATTTATGAATATGATTGTCTGTAAATATTCATTGCCTTTCGGTGGAAAAATTATTGCATACATACACCGCATGTAGAGATGCATGCGGTGTCGATCCTGACTGTAGATCACGGTGATCTCAGTCACGATGCAATCAAATTTTTTTTGAAAAAAAAAAAATTAAAAGTGGAGCTCACTGATCTACGGTCAGGATCAGACACCGCATGCATCCCTGCATGCGGTGTATGTATGAAATAATTTTTCAGGTGGGTGGAGCCATTATTTCATCAAAACACTCCCTCAAATTTACCAGTAGTCAATTATCACTTGGTAAGTGGGCTCCACTATAATACACTAAGTCTTTTAGAGTGATGGGCTCATTGGTCACGTGACATAATCCTACTACTCAGTATGCAAATTTTACGTATGAAGTGGATGTAATAATTTTTCCTTTAAAGCATATAATCAATAGATAGTTCATTCATTGTTTTTTTTCTTTGTTTCACACACACACATATATATGTATACATCTTTGTTATGATGAACGGTGGGAATCACATTGTATGAATTTTTGCATACGATGTCCGTTTGCAATAATTTTTCGTAGTCCACTGGACACTTATTAACTAACAAGTAGGTCTCACTATAATACACTAAGTTTTTTTTAGAACGATGGGGTGACTGGCCATATGACACATTCTAACTGCACTCCATATGCAAATTTTATGTACGAAGTGGATGTAATAATTTTTCATTTCATTATTTTTTTCTTAGTTTTATATATATATATATATATATAGATGCTAAAATACCATGCCTTCCTCTTTAACAGGCCACACGGGCTCATGGGCCGGAGCCCATCCCGACGTCGTCACTTGCGCCAACATGTTCTGGCTCCCGGACGGCCCAAACTCGTGGTCCACCCGACTGGCCTCCGAGCCCGGCACCGGCCAACTGAACCCTCTCCACCCCAAAACCTACCTCATCCTCCACCACATCTTCTCCGACCTGTCCTCCCTCTTCCCCGACCCATTCCTCCATGGCGGCGCCGACGAAATCGCCCCTTCCTGCTGGTCCACCGATCCCTCCATCCGCTCCTTCCTCGCCGCAGGCCACACCCCCTCCACCCTCCTCTCCACGTTCATCAACAGAACCCATCCCCTCATCACCTCCCTCAACCGTACCGCAATATATTGGGAAGACGTCCTCCTCAACTCCGACGTCAAGGTCCCCCATTCCCTCCTGCCCCCTTCCACCACCATTCTCCAAACCTGGAACAACGGCCCAAACAACACCAAACTCATCGCCTCCGCCGGCTACCGCGTCATCGTCTCTTCCTCCGATTTCTACTACCTCGACTGCGGGCATGGGGACTTCGTCGGAAACGATAGCAGTGGCGGGGAGTCGTGGTGCGAACCGTTTAAGACGTGGGAGAGGATATATGGATATGATATATTGGAGGGGATTGAGGGGGAGGAGGGGAGGCGGTTGGTGTTGGGAGGGGAGGTAGCGATGTGGACGGAGCAGGTGGATGGGGAGGTTTTGGATGGGAGGGTTTGGCCGAGAGCGGCGGCGATGGGGGAGGCGATGTGGTCGGGGAATAGGGATGAGAGTGGGAGGAAGAGGTTTGCGGAGGCGACGGATAGGTTGAGCGGTTGGAGGGAGAGGATGGTGGGGAGGGGGATTAGGGCTGAGCCCATTCAGCCCCTGTGGTGCCGGAACAATCCGGGGATGTGCAATCTTGTTCAGTAATAGCAGAGATATCATATTGGAAGATTTACATATAAGCCCCTAAAATCTCTATGTATTTAGTATTTACATATCTAATACTTAAAAAGTTTTAATTTCTATATATGCACCTAAAAAAAATGATATTTATGTATATAAACATGGGAATTGGGTGGCATATATGAAAATGGAGGTGTCATGTATTTAACTATCATTGGTTTTGATTTATCAAGCTTTGTGATGGCTTGAGACTTGTTGAGAATAAAAACAGAACCATCCATTTAACTAACTTCGCTCCAGTTTTACGAAGAAAAACACATGCCAAGTTTGGGCAAAAACTCAGAACAAATAAACAAGGGGAACTTGACAGGCAAAGAGAATAATATCTTCCCAGAAAAATAATTTTAACCATGACAAAAAGTAAATTTATCAAGCATTGGTGATGGCTTGAGACTTGTTGAGAATGACACCCTAATACTTGACTTGAAACCATTTCACGGCATCTTCTTTCGTAACTTGGAGCTGAACGAGAGTCGTGACTTACAGCGGCGTCGATGGCTCACTCGATAACTAGCTCGCTCCAACATGACATAAAAGTCCATTCCATAAATGCCTGTTGAAGGATCATACCTAGCCAAACATTATTAAAAAAAAGGTACACATTAATAAATATGTTAATAATTTCCTCCCAACAAAATTGTTAATTTGAAGAAAAATATGAAAACTAATAGTTGAATAAACAAGAAAACTAATCCAGTATAGCTAATCACTATCTATCAATTAACGCCGAAAACAAAGTAACTTCCAATTCATTTAAAATGGATGATATTGACAAACAAACTAGAGCAACAACAAACATTGAGAAAAGATTAGGAATGAACAAAAATATAATAACATACTTAATTCCAAGATCAATGTGCTCCTGAATGCCAAATCCAAAGCATCCAGTATCACTGAAGTTCCTCCTCAAAAGCTCATACTCCTTAACCTTCAAACCGCTCTCCAGGAGTTGCATCGCCTTTTCACCTCTAACAGTGACATAGCAAGCAATTTTTTCATTGCGACGGATTCCAAATGATCAAACAGTTTACCTTGCTAAAGGAAGTAAAAAAGAAAAAAATTTAATGCAAAGCATAAAAATACTTGAAAGAGGGAAAAGGAAGATGATGGTGTCTCTAACCTACCTTCAGAGAACACAGGAATCAGTCCACATAATTGTTCGAGCACCTGAAAATTTGACAACTTGGTCAAGAAAGTATGTTACATGCAATACAATAGATTAGCAAACAATCAACAACAACAACAAAGCCTTAATCCCACTACGGGGGTCGGCTACATGAATCATTTTCTCCATTGCGTCCTATTTAGTGTCATATTTTCATTTAGTTATAGTAAATTAAGATCATTTTTAATACAATAAGCCCAAGTCTTCCTAGGTCTACCTCTGCCAAAATAAATTAGATTAGCAAACAATGCATCAAATAAAACAAAAGTGCAAAATATAAATTTAGCACTCAACAAGAAAAAAGGGTCAAGGAACAACCCTAATTTTCATGAAAGGGTAGCCCCATTTAGTGGGATATAACATGGCACTCAATCATATGCCAATCAAGATCAATAAAAATCATAAAGATCAATTCTCTAATATCTATTTGTTGTACTTTCCCTTAATTGTCTTATCCAAATAAAAGAATCGTGTGCATATCACCAACTACTTGACTGATTTGAACCTATGGCGGTGATCAAGGTTTGAATCATTGCCACACAAAAAGCCCAAAAAAAAAATGTTGCCAGCATAAAATCAAATTGATAATCTAAAACTGATATTTATTACCATATAGCTAATTGAAAATGGTGCAAACAAAAAGGCAAAAAAATGTAGGCTATAGCATGCTTGCTTAAAAAATTCGGAAAGATTGTTGTGGATATTGCTAAAAACCATTTTTCCTATTTGATTTTAGCTATGCACTATGCTCAAGAAATCTCATTTAGGCAAGTCAACGCCTGATTCCAATTGAACCTGAAAAATCTATTTTTCCCTTCGAACCATGGGCTAAAAGGCATTCCACCATATTCCGCTTCTAAGGTTGGGCATTCAGCAAATTTTGTCAGGGACTACAACCATCCTCCTAGTTAAGAACCAATCAACAATGTCAAAAGAGGGCTCAAAAGTAAAAGTTTTAGGCACTTAAACATTTATCAATCCTACACAGTGCAACATACTGCACATATACCCCTTTCCTTTTATTCTTTCATAGTGTACTTCTCAACCTCCCCTCAGCTCTATCCAAGTTCTCGAAACCCTCCCTCCACTTGTCATCTTGTCATCATCAACTTGACTACAAGTCGGCTACATGGCTCACTGAACAAACTTTTCATGAGTTCCACAACCCATCAATTCGCAAGTAACAATTTTGAATCTCTAGTCCAATATGTTGCTCATGCATTTGTTGGGTAACTAGCAACCCAAAATCACTAGAATCACCAAGTTGTAAATTAAAAACTCACAATGTAACATGTTACTTTCCACTCAAATTCAAGTGAATCAACCTAGCACTTTCCCTAAGTATCATTTGAGCGGTACAATGGACCCATAACTCAATGGGCCCCACCCCCTAAGAAACGACAACCATAAATCATTTTAATGCAACTTTGAAGCAAAAAATTATAAGGGGCATTTACATACATAGCACGCATATTTTATGTATTTACATATCTCACACCTAAACTTTCATGTTTATATGTAAACATGAAAATTTAGGTGTGAGATATGTAAATACATAAGAATTGTGTGCTACGAATGTAAATTTCCCAAACTACAATTAATTACAGAGTGAGGAATCTATTGATAGTTTAAGCACTTAAATGCCTATAAAATCACTGAGAACAAGTTTCCACTAACAGCTCGCGCAAGGTCAAGTTCATTTACTCAAACTTAATCTAATTCAATCCTTAAAAATATTACTAAATCATCTTTCTTGGTATAATATTTAAAGTGTAAACATTACAAAAATGATATCAGAAAAGTGAGATAAATTTAGGAATTTCTACCCATAATTTTTCCATGCATTAATAAGCCCTCCAAAAGCAATATGACCAAAGCCTTGTAACTTTTGGTCACCTGGTCATTCCTAATTTCATGTACTTAAATATGAATTTTGCAATTTAGATGCAATAGTCTAACAACCTGCCTCTATGCACATAAATACGATGCACATAAATATATGCATCCACAAACATTTGCAACCTTCTGTTTTAGCACTTTGATCCCAAGGATCTACATTGTGTTCTTGCTATTTATGTAATGACATCTAGAGCTTATATTTCAGATTTGCAATATTTAAGTCAACGAAATTGCCCTTCTTCATGTAATAAATTTTAATATTGCTTGGATTGAGTGATATATTGTGGTTTTTATAGAAGCTTGAATTGGTCAAGATTCTAAATGTTTATACATAATTCTAATTAGGTTTAATTCAAAAAACTAATAATCAAAATTATGGATATTCAATCAAGTAAATTAGATACGAATTTATTATTGTAGAGAAAAATAAGGAAAAGAAAAACAGTAACGACACAAATCCAGAAGAACACAGAGATTTAACGAGGTTCGGCAAAGATGCCTACGTCCTCGGGAGCAGAGCGGCGAGTTCCTTTCAATATTCAGAAAAGGGTTTACAGAAATCAAAGATACATCCTGTGGTTACTAACATGTCTATTTATAACCCCAGGAGTAAACCTTAGGCACAATATGTAATTACAACATTACCCATGCACCATACCGCGGGGCTTTGCCCCCGCACCCCAACCCACGTAACTTTCCAATTTGGACAGATTCTTTACACCTGCACCACTGTGGGTTGGGCCACCATGCTTCTCTAGCAACTGCAAACATTCAACAAGTCCAAGCAATACAAGAACTTGTTGATAGTAACTGGCTTAGTCAACATATCAGCTGCATTCTCATCAGTATGAACCTTCTACAACAGTATCTCCCCAAAAGCGATCAATTTTATATCTTGTGGTACCTGACATCAATATGCTTGGTTCTCGCATGGTACACCTGGTTCTTAGCTAGATAAATAGCACTCTGACTGTCACAATGCAACTGAACTCCACCTTGCTCAACGCCCAGTTCCTTTACTAGCCCAGCAAGCCATAAAACTTCTTTAGCAGCTTCAGCTACTGCCATGTACTCAGCGTCAATTGTAGATAATGCCACAATAGACTGAATTGTTGATTACCAACATATAGGTCCTCCACCAAGAGTAAACACATACCCAGTTGTAGACCTTCTGCCATCCAAATCACCTGCGTAGTCTGAATCAACGTACCCACAACTGAAGAATCATTCTTCTGACTGCCAAAAATAATTCAATGTCCTACAGTACCCTTCAGATACCTGAAAATCTAATTGACTGCTTCCCAATGTCGTCTTCCAGGTTTAGCCATGTATTTACAGACTTGACTAACAACATGAGCCAAATCAGGACGAGTACATAACATAAATAGCATACATCAAGCTGCCAACTGCACTAGCATATGGAACATTTGTCATGTCTTCAATTTCTGTATCAGTCTTAGGGCATTGTTTTGAAGAAAGCTTAAAATGATTTGTCAAAGGAGTGCTCACAGGCTTTGCATTGCTCATCTCAAACTTTTCCAACACTTTCTCAACATAGCCTCGTTGAGATAGACATAATCGTCTTGAGCCTCTGTCTCGATGAATCTTCATTCCAAGAATCTTCTTCGTAGGACCCAAGTCTTTCATGTCAAATCCCTAACTCAATAAAGCTTTCAAACCACGGACATCATTCATATTCTTTGCAGCAATCAATATATCATCAACATACAGTAACAGAAAAATAATAGAACCATCATCAAGGCTTTTCACATAAACACAACAATCATACTCA